TATAAAAATAGATAGCGATATCTCTCTCTCTCTCACGCGCGCGCGCGCGCACGCACGCGCGCGCGGGCTATATATATAAATATATATTTTTTTTTTTTTTTTTATATATATATATATATATATATATATATCTCTCTCTTTTTTATATATATATATATATATATATATATATATATATATATATATATATATATATATATATATATATATATATATATATATATATATATATATATATATATATATATATATATATATAGTTTAATAAATTTGTAATTTTTTTGATAAATGTGTTCTTATACAGCTCTAAATACATTATAGAATGGCAAATATAGATGTAGATATTATTATTGTTATTATAGTAACTCAAAAAATTTTCACATTTTAATATTAGTTATTTTATTAGCTTACATTTTCAATACAATCTCAGTTCCAACCCAAGCTCATTCTGGAAACGTAGCCCCGCGGACGTTTCTGGAGACCGCGATTTACGTGGCCGGAGGTACTGAAGGCCGCGTTTAGTTTTTTTCGAGCGAACGCTGCGGGGCGGTGTGGCGCCGCTCCGCTCCTCCTCTTCGCACTCGCCGGCCGACGGCTCACCTCCGAGTGTAGGGCTTTCCCGATGCAACCAGTTTGTCCGCTTAGCTCACAGCGTTGCGTCGGCGGAGCGGAGACCCCGGAGGAGGAGAGGAGGAGGAGCCGGCCGCGGGGACGATGACCGGGATCGAGTCCGGGGAACAGCAGTTCCGGAAATCAGGTAAGACGAAAAACAGAATCCGAAAAATAAGGGCAAGAACGCGGCGGGATCCGAAAACGCGGTCGAAATTGAAGACGAGGGCTTTTGCTTTTTTTTTTTTCTTTCTGGACAGCTTTTGCAAACCGTCGCTTGGGTTTAGGGAAGGAGGAGGAGGAAGAGGAGGGCGGGCGGGTCGGCCGATCCGGTGGCTTTTCGCGCGAGAACAGCGCGGGCGCGAACGGCAGCATCTCGCGGATCCGCGAAAACAAAAATCGCTTGAATACGTACCTCCCGGGACGTAAATCGCGGTCCGCAGAAATGTCCACGGGGCTACGTTTCCACAATGAGCCCGGGTTGCGTAGTTCACTTCCAGAACAGTTATCAACATATATGAGTTTATTTTTTTGTTAAACACAAAAAAGAGGTTTGATGTTCACCGTTAACAACAATAGTAGGGAAAATACTATGGAAGTCAGTAGTGACCATACTGAAATCAGAAGTCATTGGAACTGAACTACTTATTTTAATGCATAAGCAAACATGACCAATGACTAGGGCCAGATGGAATCTGTGGACATTTTTTGCTATTTCTGCACAGAATTTTGTTAAAAATCTGTAGATTTATGCGGAGTGATTTTGGGAATATCATAACTAAAACCTAATATATGAAATAAAAAATAATACTACCTTTTTAACTTATATTTAATGTTTACAATTCAAATCCAATCTCATATAATATCTCTACTAAAGGACAGAAAATATTACTTTACAAACTATATTGTAAATAAATCTTATGAACGTTTTCATATTAGTCAATAATATTACTGAAATTAATTTAAAACTGAATAAATATGAATCGACACACATTTACACTAGTAAATAAACAGTATCAATCATAGGTTAAAAATCTGCAGAATTCTGCGCTCGCAAATTCCATATGGGCCTACTAATAATCAATAAAATTACTATTTTTAAAATAATATTTAATAAATTTGTAAATTGTTCAATAAACGTCTTCTGATTCAGCTCTAAACACATTATAAAATGACAAATATAGATATAGATAATACTATTGTTATTATAGTAACTCAAAAAGATCTCAGATTTTAATATTAGTTATTGCATTAGCTTACAATCTCAATATGATCTGATTTATTAGCATTAGTTAAAGGAGAAGTTTACTTCCAGACCAGTTACAAACATATATGAGTTTCCTTATTTTATAATAAAGAAAGTTTATTTTTTAATAGTGGGGAAAATACTATGGAAGTCAGTAGTGACCATACTGAAATCTGAAGTCATTGGAAGTGAACTACTTTTTAATGCATTAGCAAACATGACCAATGAGCAATAAAATTAAGTCATTTTTTAATAATACCATTGAATGAAATCGTAAATTGTTAATTGAACCTGTTCTTTTCTATACCAATTATAGATGTAGCTATTATTATTGTTATTTTAGTAACTCAAAAAGATCTCAGATTTTAATTAGTTATTGCATTAGCTTACATTTTCCATAGCTGCGTCCCAAATGGCACACTATACACTATGCACTCATGCACTATGTACTTATGCACTTACACACTCAACAGGATAGTATATGTATGTAGTGGCGTCCCAAATGGAGCACTAATGTTTTTTTACTAAACGGAAATTCAAACCGTTTCCCTGATGACGTTTGACGGTTGCCAAATCAGTAAAATAAACAACGGACTTATCAAATAATACCTGCCGTGAGTATAACCGCATTCACCATCGGGAGGCGCTATTATCACTCTCGTAGGTGAATTTTGCTTTCACCATCCAAAATAAATAAAGTTATCCAACATGTGCGTCCGATAGCTCCGCCCCTTCCGCTACGTAAGCAAACCCGCGGTCGTTGAGTGCGTGAAGTGTCCATCATTACACACTTCATTTTAGCAGCTGAATGAGTGCATCATCCGGGTAATTAAAGTGCACTTATTATTTTTAGAGATTTCAGTGTGAACACACTACTTACACTATTTATACTACAAAATGGCGTAGAATAGTGCATAAGTATGCGATTTGGGACGCAGCTAATGAGATCTCATTTATTAGCATTAGTTAAAGTAGAGTAGTTCACTTCTAGACTAGTTATCAACATGTATGAGTTTCTTTATTTTCTGTTAAACACAAAAAAAGAGGTTTAATGTTTACCATTGACTGCCATAGTAGTGGAAATTCTATGGAAGTCAATAGTGACCTTACTAAAATTGGAAGTCATCGCGTGACCAATGAGCAATAAAAGTCAATATATTTTTATTAATGCTATTAAATGAAATTGTAAATTGTTTGTTGAACCTGATCTTTGAATACACAATGCTAAGTACATTGTGATTGTACCACTAAAGATAAAATTCTATATAAAGTAGACATTATTATTGTTATTATAGTAACTTATTGTAAGATCTCAGATTTTAATTAGTTCATGCATTATCTAACATAATCAAACAGGAGTTAATAATTATTACATTATTAATATTAGTATTCATTCTTTTTTCCAGCTTAGTCCCTTAATTATTCAGCGGTCGCCACAGCGGAATGAACCGCCAACTTACCCAGCATATGTTTTATGCAGCGGAAGCCCTTCCAGCTGCAGTCCAACACCGGTAAACACCAATACACTCTTGCATTCACACTCATACACTACAGCCAAATTTGTTAATTCAGTTCACCTAGAGCGCATATGTTTGGACTGTGGGGGAAACCAGAGCACCTGAAGGAAACCCACACCAACACGGGGAGAACATGCAAACTCCACACAGAAATGCCAACTGACCCAGCCGGGACTCGAACCAGCGACCTTCTTGCTGTGAGGCGATTGTGAGACGGTTCACTCCGCTGTGCTGGTTAATAAAGGGAGTAAGCTGAAAATAAAATGAATGAATGAATGAATAATAGGTTACATTTTCTGGAGTTGTCTAAAATCTTGGGTTCCAGTACAGTCAAGTTTACATAATAAAACTATTCGTTATCTTCTGTTTTAGATCCTTTGGACATTTAAAAAATATATATTATAGAGTGATAAAAGATGTAGTAGTGTTGCTTATCAATACTTAATGCTAATTAAGACTAATGTTAACAAGTGAAACCTTATTGCAGCTCTATTAAAGCGAAAGTTCACCCAAAAATGAATGTTTCATTTACTCACACTCAGGTGCGTCTAAACTTTTCTCAGCATCTTTCTTCTGTTTCAGTCAATTCTGTCGTCATTTTCTCGTCCTCCACTTGTTGTATACCTGTTTGGGCTTCTTTTTTTTGTTGAATACAAAGGAAGAGTTTTCTG